TTAGGCTTCGCGCATCTGCCTCGCACTCGCGCGCCTTCGCGCACTTCGCGCCCCAGCTGGTCTCCTCGCGCGCGTGCTGCCGCGCGCCCCGTACTCCTACGCCTACGCGGTATAGGTCTTCGCTCGCTGCGCCCTCACTTGCGCGCCTCGCGCGCGTTCTGCATTCGCTGCCCAGCTCCCGCGCGTCCTTGCCACTTTTGCGAGTGCCACGCACGCCAGCCGTCTCGCCATCGTCATCGCGCCCCGTGCCATTGCCGACTTCCTCGCCCGCGTGTGCGTCCAATGTTCCTAGGCCTGCCAGGCCTAGGCTCTCGCCCGCGTGAGCTCCCTTCGCGCACACCGTACTCTCCGTCACTTTGACGCCAAAGGCCAACGCGTCCCAGTCAACGCCCGTGCTTAGATCGCCTACTCCGCACGTTCCGCCCACGCTGGTGCTCCGATCGCCTACTCCGCACCCGCGTGCGCCCAACGCCGTCTGCGTGTGCACCACCTTATCGCGCGCATCATGGCACGATGTGCGCCATTCGTTTGTGCTCGCTTTTCCACTGCCGATTGCCCTTAATTGCTCGTTCGATGGCCATGGGTCCCATCCTTCCAACCCAATACAATCTCCAGCTTGCCATATCCAACCATCCTCTACCCTTTGCCTACCTCTCCTTCGAGCCTCTATCTTCCAAGCTCGCTTCTTTTTCGCACAAGGCCCACGTCATTGTCTTGCCTTTCGAGCCTTTGCTTTCTGTCGTCTCTTGGCCATACATTTCCTCGCCTTCAACTTCAGCTTTGGACCACATACTTTTGGCCAATCTCTTACACAAGAAGGTCGATATATTGGACTTGATGGCTCTCTTAGCATGTTGTCCAACCATATATTGACATTGTCGCCATCCTCATCCTCTGACGCGCTTGGGTTGATGACCACTTCCGTATCATTCCCCTCCTCTTCGAGACTTTCCTTGTCCTCAAGAATTAGAAAATTCAGCGCACTATTATCACAGTTGTTTGAACATCGACCACTATTGCTTCTCGGGCTTCTACAAGTTGTCGCTCGTATTCTTCTACGTTTCTTCGCTCATGAAGCTCATCTAGATACGTTTTCTCCCATGGCATGAGTTCTCTTTCCAAACCTTCCAACATCTCAAGATCTTCCCAATCTAACTCATCCAATGGTAGGAAAGACATTTTTTTTTTTACTCTCTCGAAAAAAAATCGAACCAACTAATTTTTTTTTTTTAAGACTCTATGAAAAATAACAAAGGACTAGATGACACTTTTATTTTTTTACTCTACTCTCAAATTTTCGAAAAAATAAGAGAAAAAGAAGCAAAAATTTCAAACTGAAATTCAAAAAAAGTAAGAGAAAATCGGCCCCCCCCCTCAACAAAAGGTGAAACTGAAAAAATAAAAAGATATATAAACAATGACCTAGATCGGACACTCTTCAATGAAACCCTCTCAATGAAAGCACCAATGATGAGTGATCGAGAGTGTTGATCGCAGTTGTTGCCTATTCGGTTGTATGTAAATGCGCACTCGAGCCTTCGACTACACACGATAGATGTGACTAATAGACGCACTACGGCCTTCTCTTAGACACCGTGACTTCAAGACGCTCTAATGGCCTTCTCTCCGACACTGTATGTAAACACGCTCTAATGGCCTTGTTTAAACACACGTAAGAACATCAAGTTCCCCCTTTTTTATTCACTCATCAATTCCAAGACATTCGATAATGAAGAGGTACATAGGTATTTATAGATGCATAAATTAAATCTAAGCCTAATAGATCTAGATTTCCTAATTCAATAATTAAAAGCAACATGGTAATAAAATCCTAATATTACTAAAACTACTAATGCTTGGCTTGCACTCCAAGAATTTCTAGAAGCTTAAGTCCTTCACACGCCTCAAACCCTCGGCCGCCTCTTCGCGTCGCCGCCCTTCGCTCGTCCACTCCTCGGCTACTTCAGTCTCTTGCGCGCGCACTACACGCGTTGCCCTTCTCGCGCGCGCTCTGCTCGCCGCCTTCACCCTGCGCGTGTAAGCCCGCCAGTCCTATGCCCGCACGGCTTAGGCTTAGCGCATCTTCCTCGCACTCGCGCGCCTTCGCACACTTCGCACCCCAGCTGGTCTCCTCGCGCGCGTGCTACCGCGCGCTCCGTACTCCTACGCCTACGCGTTATAGGTCGTCGCCCGCGTCGCCCTCACTTGCGCGCCTCGCGCGTGCCCCGCATTCGCTGCCCAGCTCCCGCGCGTCCAACGTTCCTAGGCCTGCCAGGCCTTGGCTTTCGCCCGCGTGAGCTCCCTTCACGCACACCGTACTCTCCGTCACTTTGCCGCCAAACGCCAACGCATCCCAGTCAACGCCCGTGCTTAGATCGTCTACTCCGCACGTCCCGCCCACGCCGGTGCTCCGATCGCCTACTCCAAACCCGCGTGCGCCCAACGCCGTCTGCGTGTGCACCACCTTATCGCGCGCATCATGGGACAATGTGCGCCATTCGCTTGTGCTCGCTTTTCCATCGCCGATCGCCCTCAATTGCTCGTCCGATGGCCATGGGTCTCATCCTTCCAACCCAATACAATCTCCAGCTCGCCATATCCAACCATCCTCTACCCTTTGCCTACCTCTCCTTCGAGCCTCCATCTTCCAAGCTCGCTTCTTTTTCGCACAAGACCCACTACATTGTCTTGCCTTTCGAGCCTTTTCTTTCCGTCGTCTCTTGGCCATACGTTTTCTCGCCTTCAACTTCAGCTTTGGACCACATCCTTTTGGCCAATCTCTTACACAAGAAGGTCGATATATTGGACTTGATGGCTCTCTTAGCATGTTGTCCAACCATATAATGAGATTGTCGCCATCCTCATCCTCTGACTCGCCTGGGTTGATGACCACTTCCGTATCATTCCCCTCCCCTTCGAGACTTTCCTTGTCCTCAAGGATTAAAAAATTCAGCGCACCATTATCACCGTTGTTTTGAACATCGACCACTATTGCTTCTCGGGCTTCTACAAGTTGTCGCTCGTTTTCTTCTACGTTCCTTCGCTCATGAAGCTCATCTAGATACGTTTTCTCCCATGGCGTGAGTTCTCTTTCCAAACCTTCCAACATCTCAATATCTTCCCAATCTAACTCATCCAATGGTAGGAAAGACATTTTTTTTTTTTTTTGACTCTCTCGAAAAAAAATCGAACCAACTAAATTTTTTTTTAAGACTCTATGAAAAATAACAAAGGATTAGACGACACTTTTTTTTTTACTCTACTCTCAAATTTTCGAAAAAATAAGAGAAAAAGAAGCAAAAATTTCAAACCGAAATTCAAAAAAAGTAAGAGAAAATCGGCCCCCCCTCAACAAAAGGTGAAACCGAAAAAAATAAAAAGATAGATAAACAATAACCTAGATCGGACACTCTTCAATGAAACCCTCTCAATGAAAGCATCAATGATGTGTGATCGAGAGTGTTGATCGCGGTTGTTGCCTATTCGGTTGTATGTAAATGCGCACTCGGGCCTTCGACTACACACGATAGATGTGACTAATAGACGCACTACGGCCTTCTCTTAGACACCGTGACTTCAAGACGCTCTAATGGCCTTCTCTCCGACACTGTATGTAAACACGCTCTAATGGCCTTGTTTAAACACACGTAAGAACATCCAGTTCCCCCTTTTTTATTCACTCATCAATTCCAAGACATTCAATAATGAAGAGGTACATGGGTATTTATAGATGCATAAATAAAATCTAAGCCTAATAGATCTAGATTTCCTAGTTCAATAATTAAAAGCAACATGGTAATAAAATCTTAGTATTACTAAAACTACTAATGCTTGGCTTACACTCCAAGAATTTCTAGAAGCTTAAGTCCTTCACACGCCTCAAACCCTCGGCCGCCTCTTCGCGTCGCGGCCCTTTGCTCGTCTACTCCTCAGCTACTTCGGTCTCTTGCGCGCGCGCTACACGCGTTGCCCTTCTCGCGCGCGCTCTGCTCGCCGCCTTCACACTGCGCGTGTGCGCCCGCCAGTCCTATGCCCGCACGGCTTAGGCTTAGCGCATTTGCCTCTCACTCGCGCGCCTTCGCGCACTTCGTGCCCCAGATGGTCTCCTCGCGTGTGTGCTGCCGCGCGCTCCGTATTCCTACGCCTACACGGTATAGGTCTTCGCCCGCGTCGCCTCACTTGCGCGCCTCGCGCGTGCCCCGCATTCGCTGCCCAGCTCCCGCGCATCCTCGCCACTTCCACGAATGCTGCGCACGCCAGCCGTCTCGCCATCGTCATTGCACCCCGCGCCATTGCCGACTTCCTCGCCCGCGTGTGCGTCCAACGTTCCTAGGCTTGCCAGGCCTAGGCTCTCGCCCGCGTGAGCTCCCTTCGCGCACACCGTACTCTCCGTCACTTTGCCGCCAAACGCCAACGCATCCCAATCAACGCCCGTGCTTAGATCGTCTACTCCGCACGTCCCGCCCACGCTGGTGCTCCGATTGCCTACTCCGCACCCGCGTGCGCCCAACGCCGTCTGCGTGTGCACAACCTTATCGCGCGCATCATGGCACGATATGCGCCATTCGCTTGTGCTCGCTTTTGCATCGCCGATCACCCTCAATTGCTCGTGCGATGGCCATGGGTCCCATCCTTCCAACCCAATACAATCTCCAGCTCGCCATATCCAACCATCCTCTACCCTTTGCCTACCTCTCCTTCGAGCCTCCATCTTCCAAGCTCGCTTCTTTTTCGCACAAGGCCCACAACATTGTCTTGCCTTTCGAGCCTTTGCTTTCCGTCGTCTCTTGGCCATACATTTCCTCGCCTTCAACTTCAGCTTTGGACCACATCCTTTTGACCAATCTCTTACACAAGAAGGTCGATATATTGGACTTGATGGCTCTCTTAGCATGTTGTCCAACCATATATTGACATTGTCGCCATCCTCGTCCTCTGACTCGCCTGGGTTGATGACCACTTCCGTATCATTCCCCTCCTCTTCGAGACTTTCCTTGTCCTCAAGGATTAGAAAATTCAGCGCACCATTATCACCGTTGTTTTGAACATTGACCACCATTGGTTCTCGAGCTTCTACAAGTTGTAGCTCACATTCTTCTGCGTTCCTTCGCTCATGAAGCTCATCTAGATACGTTTTCTCCCATGGCGTGAGTTCTCTTTCCAAACCTTCCAACATCTCTACATCTTCCCAATCTAACACATCCAATGGTAGGTACATCTATTTGTAATTTTTGAAATTTGATATGTTGTTACATTTGTAATTGGTAAACATGATTAATATTTGCACAATATAATATTAGTAAAATGCACAATAATTTATTGTTTATATTAATCGCCGATTACCTTAAGTCGACTGTCTTCGTTAAAGACAGTGCACTTTGGCTGTACTTCCGGGTCTGTATGGAGGAGGATAGAAAGCAAATTACCGATAAGGTGTTTGACGGCGAGCTCGATACTGATGCCATCTAGGATGCCATTCCTAAGGCGCCTGAAGACTTCCAATGTGACCCTCTGCCAATTACATACTCTTGGTGGTCGGGAACCCACAACGGGACTTTGGATCGTTCTAGCACGCGAAAGAAGAATTTCTACATGCCTAAGACTGGTGTCACGCCTTTTTCTATGACCACCGCCTTAACAGAGTCGACCCGCCTCCAAGCTCTGGGGGATCCTGAGGCTTCGACCTCCGTTCTGACCCAAATGTCGAGTACCCTCCCAATATCCATCTGAGACCGATCCTGAGGCCATCACTGACTAATATGATACTATCAAGACAACCCCGAATGTGGCGTGATCAACCATTGTAATTTTTATTATGTACTTATTGTATTGGTCTAACTTGTACTTTGATTTTCTATGAATGCCATTTTTATTTTCACCATCTTGCATTCATTTTGTGTTGATTTATTGAAAGAATGTGCCCATTAAATTTGTAAACTTATTACTCGTCCATAATTCCACAAAAATATTCCAGATGACTACCAATTTAATCGACCTTCCACTGAGGTCGTCCAATTTTTAAAAATATCAAGCTAGTATTATGCCAAGTTACCTTTTTAATCGACCCTCAATTAAGGTCATCTTGTTTTGTTTTCCATAATGAGGTAGTCACTATTGGTTAATACTATTGATGGACCTGCCACTTAGGTCTTCACAATTCTCTTTTGTGGTCTTCAAGCACTTGCCCAATCTAACACTAAGATTTTTCAAAACAAACGAACATCCAGCTCGAAAGATTTAAACATGGTGGATTTTTGTCTTCAAGCACTTGTCCAACCCAACAATACGATTGTTCAAAACAAGCGACCACCCAACTCGAAAACCTTAATCATAATGGGTTTTTGTCTTTGACAACTTGTTCAATCCAATAATAGGATTGTATAAAACAAGCAACCACTCAACTCGAAAGCTTTAAACATGGTGGATTTTTGCCTTCGAGCACTTACCCAACCAAACACTATGATTATTCAAAACAAGTGACCATCCAGGTCGAAAGCCTTAATCACGATAATTTTTTTTTATCTTCGATCACTTACCCAACCCAACACTAGGATTGTTCAAAACATGCGACCACCTAGCTCGAAAGCCTTAAACATGGTGGATTTTTGTCTTCGAGCACTTTCCCAACTCAACACTAGGGTTGTTCAAAACAAGAACCACGCAGCTCTAAAGACTTAATCGTTGTGGATTGTTGTCTTCCAACACTTGCCCAACCAAACACTAGGATTTTTCAAAACAAGCGGTCACCCAGCTCGAAAGCCTTAAAAATTGTGGATTTTTGTCTTCAACACTTGTCCAACCCAACTCTAGGATTGTTTAAAACAAGCGACCACCTAGCTCGAAAGCCTTAATCATGGTTGATTTTTGTCTTCAACACTTGCCCAACCCAACTCTAGAATTATTCAAAACAAGAGACGCCCCAGCTCGAAAGCCTTAATCATGATGGATATTTGTCTTCCAACACTTGCCCAACCCAACACTAGGATTGTTCAATACAAGTGACCACCCAAAAAGCCTTAATCATGATAGATATTTTCTTTGATCAAACTGACCTAACACTGAGGTCACATAAAAGCCCACCAAACATGATTACACGGTAAAATATAATAGCAACATGGGTTTCTATTGATTTCTATAAGTAAAATGAGTAACATCAAATATTCATGAAAAAGAAACAAATTTCAAGCATAATGCTTCTTCAGATTTACAATGTTCAATGACTTGGTCAACGATCATCCTTTTACATCCTTCAATGAGTAGGCGCCTACAACATGGGCTTTCTCGACCAAGTAAGGACCTTCCCAATTTGGCTTCATCTTGCCCACATGTTTCAACATGTCAATTCTTTTCTATACCAGGTCGCCCACCTAGAATCTTTAAATTTTAACCTTGTTGTCATAGGCAGCTCGCATCCTTTATTTGTAAGTCACAACTCTGATTGATGTTCGCTAACTTAACTTATCGATTGTGTCCAAAGCTGCTCGATCCATCTTCTCATTTTGCTCCTAGTTTTACGCGCTCGACCTTTGGGACTCTAGCTCGACCATAACTGGTAATAATGCCTCCATTCTATAAACTAAACCGAAGGGGGTTTCCTCAGTTGTCGACCTCGGGGTGGTCCTGTATGCCCAAAGTACTGATGTGAGCTCATAGACCCACGCCCCCGAGGCTTTTTCCAGCCTCGTCTTTAACCTATTCAAGATCATCCTATTCATAACCTCGACATATTCACTAGTTTGCGGATGAGCTACCAAAGCAAAATGCTGCTCGATTTATATATCTTGACACCATGCTTGAAGCCGCTTGCAACTGAATTGAGTCTCATTGTCCAAGATTAACACCTTTGGAACACAAAACCTACAACAAATATTGTTATATAAAAAAATATATGACTTTTCCCTCTGTTATCTTGGCCAAGGGTTCTGCCTCCACCCACTTGGTAAAATAGTCGACCGCAACAATAAAAAATTTTCTTTGACTGGATCCCTATGGCATTGGCCCCACCAGGTCGATTCCTCATTGCGCGAATGGAATCGGGGCGCTCATTGTGGTTATCGTTTCTGTCGGTTGATGAGTGAGTGGACAATGTTTTTATACAGCAAGAACTTTTTCACCATCAAAGTTACATCCACCTTCATTGTTGGCAAAAAGTACCCAACTCGAATAATTTCTGCGACCAGCGCCCTGACCTTGCTGTGATCGCTGCAGTACCCCTCATGCAGCTCTTTCAACACATAATTGCCTTCTTGTTTTGTCACACACCTCAAATGTTATCCAGCATATGACCTCTTGTAGAGGGCTCCACCTTGCTCGAAAAACCTCTTAATCGACCTCAAACTTCTTTCATTTAGTTCCTTCAAGATAGCAGTCCTCTAATCTTCTACCTCATGGATCTCCACCACGTCGTCTTCCAAAGCACTTCACTCCATATGCAACAGCGTCACACTCCTACTTCTGCAATCGACCAAGATTTGAGCCATTTTCGATAATAAACCAGCTCGTCCATTCTTTCCCCTCGGTATCTGTATAAGCTCGAAGGAATTAAATTCTCCTTGTAGTTTCTCCAGTTCATCAACATACTTTTGCATTCTTTCTTCATTTACTTCAAAACCTTCTTGGAACTGTCCCACAACCAATTGGGAATCTGAGGGAACTTGAACCTCTTGAGCTCCTCCTGCCAAAGCCAATTGCAATCCTTTGATTACAGGTTTAAACTCTGCTTCATTGTTGGACACTCGAATCCCAATTTAGTTGCAAATTCTTAATTGTCTTCTCGAGGTAAAATTAGCACAATTCTCAAACCGACACCTCCTTTCGAGATCGAACCATTGACAAATAGCTTCCATATACCTTTCGACTAGACTACCAACTTTGTTCCTTCCTGAATAAAGTCTGCTAGAGCCTGGGCCTTCATCGCCCTCCGAGGTTCATAAAGAATGGAACATTCACTCAGTTCCACTACCCACTTTACCAGTTAAACTGAAACCGAAGGTCAACCCAAAGTTCCCCCCAATGACATATTTGTCCTCGCTTTCACCTTATGATTCAAAAAATAAGGCCTCAGCTTTCAAACAGTGACCACCACCGCTAGCACACACTTCTCAATTTCAGAGTACCTCAGCTCAGCTCTTTGCGTCACTTTGCTGACGTAGTAAATTGGAAAATTGAGTTATCCTTCCTCTCGTAATAACATGGAGCACACCACCGTTGCATCTATCGAGATATAGAACACCAAATCTTTCTTTTGAATCGGCTTGGCTAACAAAAGTAGAGTCACGAATACACCATACAACTCCTCAAAAGCTCGTTGAGCCTCTACTGTCCAGTTAAACTTCAAGCTCTTTTTGAACGTCTTAAATAGCGATCTACTCTTCTCTGCAACGTTCGCGATCAACCGATTTAATTGAGCAATTTGACCTGTTAGAATTTGTACTTCCTTTACATTCTTTGGTGGTTTCTCTCAACCATCTCTCACTTTTTCAGGGTCGCCTTTATTTTAGTCACCATATACCCGAGAAATTTTCCAAATTTGACATCAAAAGAGCACTTTGTTGGATTCAACTTCATGTCGTACCTCCTTAACGTGGTGAGTGTCTTCCTCAAGTCCTCAACATGATCGACCTATTCCCTACTCTTGACCAGCATATCATCAACATATACCTCCATGTTCTTACCTAATTGTTCTTTGAAGATCTTATCGACCAACCTTTGATACATCGCCTCCATTGTTCAGCCCAAAAGGCATCACCACATTGCAATAGTTACATCTGCTCGTTATAAAAATCACTCTTTTCTTGTTTTCCCAAGTCAGAGGGATTTGATGATAACCCTGCGACCAGTCCATTAAAGTTAGAAACTCACATTCTGCGGTAGAGTCGACCATCTAGCTGATCCTTGGTAGAGGGTACATGTCTTTCAGGCATGTATTATTCAAATCCCTGAAATCAAAGCATATTCTCCACTTGCCTTCAGACTTGGACACCATAACTGTATTTGAAAACCACTCCGGAAAAGTTTCTCAACTCCTTACCATATGCCCAGCCTTTAAAAGTTTCTCAACTCCTTACCCAATCACCATATCCATCTATGCACTGTGATGTCTTCTTTTTGCTTCAGTGGCCTTACACTGAGGTCGATGTTGAGTCTATGTTAGATAAGGTTGGTCTCGATACATGTAAGTTCCTCTCCCGTATAAAGAAAACTGTCCGCAATCTCCCTTATTAAGTTAATCATCTTCGACCGCAACGGCTCCCCCAGCTCCTTCACAATGCTGAACCTTCTATCCTCACACCCTTCGACCATCTACACTTCCTCAATCTCACCCCATGGTGGAATATCTAGATTCTTCTTGACCTTATCGAGCCTAGGCCTCTCTTCATTCGACCTTGACCCACTTGGTTGATCTGGCACCTCTTCATTTGGTTTGGTTGTTCTCCTAGGAAATTGTTGGTTATTACTTATGGTAGTATGAAAACAGCTCCTCGAAGTCAATTGGTCGCCCGCGATCTCGGTTACTATTTCACCAATTGGATATTTGATCATCATATGATAGGTTGAAACTACAGTCTGAAAACTCATAGGGCATTTGCCTTTGGTCCTAGCCGACGAAAGGCGTTCAAGCTAGTGTTGGGAA